GCTCTGAGGCATCAAGCCATGGGATGGAATATCATGGGGATGATAAATAGCATCCTTCAGAATCTGTCCCTCCTTTTTCCATGGATCCCATAGGATCTGGAGGAGAGAAACTGGCTAATTGCATAATGATAATGAGACAGTCACATATGTGAACAGGTGAGTGCCTCCTGGGGCAGGAAGGCATGAGCCACAAGACAAAAATAAAATCTTTATATCCATAAATGAAAATACAAATGTAACTTTAGGCATTAATATAGTTACATTCTATTCTATTCTATTCTATTCTATTCTATTCTATTCTATTCTATTCTATTCTATTCTATTCTATTCTATTCTATTCTATTCCATTCCATTCCATTCCATTCCATCCCATCCCATCCCATCCCATCCCATCCCATCCCATCCCATTCCATCCCATCCCATCCCAATCTTCTGCTCTGCTCTGCTCCGCTCCACTCCTCTCCACTCCACTCCCATTCTCTAGTCTAGTCTAGTCTAGTCTAGTCTATTTTAGTCTAGTCTAGTCTACAGTGTAGTCTAGTTAACCACTGTATTACTTTACATTACTGCACTGCACTGCACTCCCATCCCCTTTCCAATTCTGTTACACATGGAAAATACCTAACTATATGTACATACTTAAAGCCATGTAAGGGTTAATCATTAATACATCAATTGTCCATCCCACTAACTCCTCCTTACCTTTGACTCCTCCTACTGTATATATATACTGATATCCTGGACTGCTTGCTTGCCTTGCCTGATGTTCTCCTGTAATAGAAACAAAGAAATAAATACTGTTTATATTCTCATGACTTGCATCCTGATTATTGGGCCTCTATGAAAGAAAAATAGCAACAAATTCCATTCTAGGAATTGGAAAGAGAATGAGATTCTAATTCCAATTCCAATTCCAATTCTATTCTAGGATGAAAATCACCAAGAATCCATATGGGTCAATATAAAAGGGGAAAAAATGATATTGCTGTAAGTGTATACTACAGGCTACCCAACCAAGCAGAAGAAATAGATGTATTGTTTGCTAATCAATTAACAAATGTCTGTAGGAAATATACCACAATAGTAATGGAAGACTTTAACTACTCTGATGTCAACTGGGAAACAAACTCTGCAGCAAGTGGGAGATTGAACAGATTACTAACCAATTTAGCTGACAACTTAGTTATCCAAAAGGTAGATGAGGGAGCTAGAGGAAAATTATATTGGACCTATTTCTTACTAACAGAGAAGAAGTGAAAGAGGGAGTTGAAGTTGCTGGTACCTTGAGCGAGAGTGACCACGTCATACTGGAATTCAATCTAATGCAAACACAAGCAATCGAATATAATTCAACCAGTGTCTGTGTCTATTCTATTCTATTCCATTCCACTCCACCCCATCCCACCCTACCCCACCCCATTCTACTCTAGAGAGGGTTTAGATGTCACCTCAAGGGACATGATGTTCCCAGGAATAGGCTCTTCTCCTGGATCTTGCCAGCCTAAATCCCTTGACTGATGGGATCCAAAGCATATTTCTTCTCCTGGTGCTGGTGGGGGCAGGATCATCCCAAAGGGTTGACAAAAAAATAGTAAGAAAAAATATTGCAGGTCACAGCGGCTTCCCCTTCCCTCTGCCAATCACAATCACAATACTTAGGTATTTCTTCAGGAAGGGGGGGAAAGGTCAAGATGTTAATCATCATCATGCGACCAATACTCTGCCCCTTTTAATCTGGTTCAGGAAAAAGGGGCAGAGTTTCAGTCCCATGGCTGTGGCCACAATCTTTTTTTTTATCTTTTGCCTGAAGACAGCCCTATATAATAATAATAATAATAATAATAATAATAATAATAATAATAATAATAATAATAATAATAATAATAATAAACAACAATAACAACAATAACAACAATAACAACAACAACAACAACAACAATAATAATAATAATAATAATAATAATAATAATAATAATAATAATAATAATTTTATTTCTATACCGCCCTTCTCCCGAAGGACTCAGGGTGGTGTACAGCCTATTAAAAGCACAAGACAAACATCAATTAAAATAATTTAAAATGATTAAATAATTTGGCTCAATTTAAAATCTCAGAAATTTAAAACACCCAATTTAAAATTATTATGTTGATAGCCCGGCCTGGCGGAATAACAGGGTCTTGAGTGCACAACGAAATACCTGGAGGTCGGAGATCTTACGCCCACAGAGAAGGCCCTCCCCCTGGGTGTCGCCATCCGACATAACTTGGCCGATGGCACCCTGAGGAGACCCTCTCTGTGGGAGCGAATTGGCCAGTGGGGGGCTATTGGTGGCAGAAGTTGGTCTCAAAGGTACCCGGGTCCTATGCCATGGAGCACTTTAAAGGTGGTGAACAACACCTTGAATCGCACCCGGAAGACCACTGAGAGCCAGTGCAGCTCGCGCAGGAGGGGTGTCACATGGGCACAACGAGTTGCGCCCATAACCACACGCGTGGCCGCATTCTGGACCAGTTGGAGCTTCCGAGTGCTCTTCAAGGGAAGCCCCATGTAGAGAGCATTACAATAGTCCAGCCGGGAGGTGATAAGGGTGTGAGTGACCGTATGCAAGGCATCCCAGTCCAGAAAGGGCTGCAACTGGCGAATCAGGCGAACCTGATAAAAGGCCCTCCTGGCCAAGGCCATCATATGCTCTTCTAAAGAGAGCCATGCATCCAGGAGGACACCCAGATTGCGAGCCCTCTCTGTGGGGGGCAAAGATTCACCCCCAATAGTCAGCGATGGATATAGCACTGATGATGTTGCCTTGCAGAAACATCTGCAAGAAAATCACTAAGCTAGGAGAGCATCAAGCAACCCTCAGTTCAACCCTCAGTTACAAATATTTTCTTCTATCAGTACACCCTGTAAAAAAAACACCTGAATTTATGCTAGAAAAAGGTGTGATAAAAAAAGATCTGGAGAAAATAGAAAAAATAGGTGAGGAAAACCTAAGCCTAAAGATTCCATCATGTTGAGTTTGTCTTCTGATCTTAGTACATTGGAGTATCATACAACCCAGAAGTTCCCTAAGCTTCTTCCAAGATTTTTTTGACTTTCCATCAAGATTTCTACAATGTCTCCCATCCAAGTTTGAACCAGGTCCAACCCTACTTAGCTTTACCCACTCTTTATAAAATTTAAATGAATCTATATAGAAAACCTCTAATTCTTAATAGAACATAGAATATAGAATTCTTTATTGGCCAAGTGTGATTGGACACACAAGGAATTTGTCTTAGGTGTATATAAGGAGAATAAAATACATTCATCAAGAATAAAAACATATAACACTTAGTGATAGTCAAGGTTACTAATAAGCTATCAAATTGTACTGGGAAACAAATAAAAACAATATAATTGAAAGATACAAGCAACATAGTTATAGTAATAAGTGGGAAGAGATAGATACTAGTAAGGAAGAGAGGAATAATAGTAACACAGTCTTAGTAAATTATTTGACAGTGTTGTGGGAATTGGTTGTTAAGCAGAGTGATGGCATTCAGGAAAAAACTGTTCTTGTGTCTAGTTGTTCTGGTGTGCAGTGCCCTATAGCGTCTTTTTGAGGGTAGAAGTTGAAACAATTTATGTCCAGGATGTGAGGGGACTGTAGATATTTTCACGGCCCTCTTTTTGACTCGTGCTGTATACAGATCCTCAATGGAAGGCAGGTTGGTAGCCACTGTTTTTTCTGCAGTTCTAATGATCCTTTGAAGTTTGTGTCCATCTTGTTGGGTTGCAGAGCCAAACCAGACAGTTATGGAGGTGCAGTTGACAGATTCAATAATTCCTCCATAGAACTTAATCAGCAGCTCTTTGGGCAGTTTGAGCTTTCTGAGTTGGCGCAGAAAGAACATTCTTTGTTGTACTTTTTTGATGATGTTTTTGACATCATCAAAAAGCAACAACAATAATAATAATGAAAAAAAATAAGCAACAGTGGAAAAGACAAATGGGGATAATTTCCCTTTTTCTTTTCTATTCCCTTGAGATTCCCAGCTTTATGAAGTGATGGCAGCAACTTGGGATTTCATCCAAGCATAGCATGGGTGCCCCCTTGAGATCCGATCCTCTCCCTTAGCGACAAGCATTTTTCAGATGAGCCTGGATTCCCAATGGATCTATAACAAGGTTGCACAATGTGCATTATTACGAATAAAATATGTGGCACAATTACGTGCCTTTTTTAAAAAAGAGCTTTGAGCAGAGGGACTCCATGTTGAGAAGAGATGCTTGAGAGTGCGACAGTTATAGAGACAACGTGAAGTGACTGGAGAGGTAGAGATGGCTTCAGCATAGAATTACTCTGAGAAAGGAGAACAGTTTGAGAAGCTTATTCATCAGAAACAATATTGAACAAGTATTCCATCTCAGTAATGGCTTGATGGGTCTTCGTGTCCATGATAGTAGCTAGCTACCTCTAAACATGGAAAGGATAGATCTTAACAATCGGTAGGTCAGACACAAATAAAATTCTAGTGCCAACCTGGATAGTATTTGGCTCTCTCCTTCCTAATGTTCTTGGTTGACAGCTCGGTGTCGTAGTTAGGCAAAATACGAAAAAGAGAGACACCATATGGAATCGTTTAACATGGAAGCTCTCTTCCATATAGGTTAAATGCTGCTGGAAGAAGTGGTGGTAGCTGAAGTATAAGATTCATGACTGAAGAATTCTCTTTTTACGGGACTTCCCTGATATCCAGATCAAGTTGTGGAACAAAACCAGGACTTTTAGGTCGAATGAGCCTTAAGATGAAGTGGATCTGTTCAGACCTGCGAATGAAGCTTGCTTCTTTGAGGAACCAAGATTAAGAAATCTTTCAGAAATCATGTCATTTCCCCATCTTACACCATCCCCACAGAAAGGTTAGTGCTCTTCAAAAGACACCCCCCTCCCCCGTAGTTGTTAAGGCTGTCTAAATTGTGTGCATTACAGAGCTCAACGTCGCCTACGTTGCCTGAAATGGTGTGCGAAAACCAAACAACCCTGATGCATTTTGTCCTCTTGGCGTTCCCGTACCCACCCGTATTGCATGTCCTGTTGTTATTCTTTTTCGTGTGCATCTACCTGTTGACTCTTCTTAGTAACTTGCTGGTCTTCTTGGCCACGATCCACGAACCTCAGCTACATAAGCCAATGTACTGGTTCCTTTGCCACTTAGCCATTGTGGATATTGCCACCTCCACCATTGTGGTACCCAAGATGATCGCTTCCTTTCTGGACGGCAACAAAGGCATCTCATTTGCAGGCTGTGTAACTCAGCTCTTCTCCTACCATTTCGTGGGCTGCACAGAATGCTTCCTTTACACCGTGATGGCCTACGACCGCTTCTTGGCCATCTGCTGGCCGCTTCACTACAGTATCCTCATGAACCGCAAAATCTGCCTTTGGCTTTGTATGGGCACCTGGTTTGGTGGGTGCTTGCATTCAATCATAGAGACAACCCTGACTTTTCAGTTGCCTTATGGACCACGGAACGAGGTGAGCTACATCTTTTGTGACATCCCAGCCATGCTGAAGCTGGCGTGCGTGGACACCTCCTTCAATCAGATGTTCACCTTGATTGACATTGGTCTGGTGGCCATGAGTTGTCTTCTGCTTATTCTGGTGTCCTATGTCTACATCGTCTTTGCTATCCTGAGGATTCGCAATACTGACGGCCAACGGCATGCCTTCTCCACCTGCACGGCTCATGTAATCTTGGTGATAACCTTTTATACGCCTCTCGGTTTCACATTCCTGAGGCCAGGAGCAGAAGTTCACCTCGGAGGGGCGGTTGCTATATTCTATACCGCGGTGACTCCTTTCCTGAATCCGGTTATATATACGCTCCGAAACAAGGAGATGAAAAATGCCATCTTGAAATTAAAAGGCAGGAAATCTTAATTCTTTGATAACCTGGATGACCAACTTTCTGAGTCAGCTTTTTCTTGCACCAGAAGGAGAGATGCTATCTCAAAGTCTTATTTCTGCACCTCAACTCAGTCTTGCCCCCCCTTTTTTACTCCTTTCTTCCCAGAACTGTTTCCTCCAGAGATTGGATCACACTGGACAAACCACATAGCCTATGTACTTAAGTATTTGTGTATCCTTTCAAATTTTCAATATTTCTGCAAACATATGACATGATCTGTTTTCCACATAAGTCCTAGATAAAGCAAACACAGTTAATCAACAATCGAAAATGTTGTTGTTTATTTATCTATTTCATGATGAAAATGGTCCAAGTCGCAACCTTGGTTAGAGATTTGAATTCAGGGGGAGCCCCTGCTAGACGGTGTGCTTCTGAGCATATGCAGAGTGCTCAAACAATGCCAGGTATTTCAGCAGCAAAAGGTTCCATTGAAAAGAAGAAAAGGCTTTAAGGACAGTTGAATGTAAATGTAGCAATAGCAATAGCACTTAGACTTATAGATCACTTCACAGTGCTTTTACAGCCCTCTCTAAGCGGTTTACAGAGTCAGCCTATTGCCTTCAACCATTTGGGTCCTCATTTTACCCACCTCGGAAGGATGGAAGGCCGAGTCAACCTTGAGCCTGGTGAGATTTGAACTGCCAAATTGCAGGCAGCCGGCAGTCAGCAGAAGTAGCCTGCAGTATTGCACTCTAACCACTGTGCCACTCTAACCACTGTGCCACCACTAATGTAATGTTAATCCCACTGCTGATAGATCTCCATTATATTTGAGCTAGAAATATTTAAGCCAGATGTATTCAGAACAACATAGAATTGAAAAGCCTCACCTCCCTGTAGCTAAACTCCATCTCAAAGAAAGAATACGAGAGAAAAGGAGATAAGAAGTTTTCACCACCTTTGAAACACAGAGAATTGTTTAACTAACAGCCTAGATACACAGACTTTTCCCTTATATTACTCTTGCCATTTTTTTGAGTGTTCAAAAGGTGGTTCAGGGTGACGAAATAATGCAGTGTCCAACATTTCTGGTGGACAAGATTTGCCAATTGGTAACAAGGTTAGTGTGATGGACTGTGTGGGTTGAGGGACAAGCTTAGTGTGATGGACTGTGTGGGTTGAGGGACAAGCTTAGTGTGATGGACTTGTGGGTTGAGGGAAAGAGATGATGGTTAAGGAGTGGTCAGACAAGAGAGGAAGGATCCCAGTCACTTAACAGTCAGGAAAAAAACCTAAGGAAAGACCCTCCTTAATGGATCAAGCCTTTAAAAGTGACAGGTATATTTGATTATACATATAATAACTGCAGCGAGGATAGTATTTGCGCAGAAATGGAAAGTAGAGAAAATCCCTTCAGAAGATGAAGTAATTAAGACAATATTAGATTGTGCAGAAATGAATAGACTGACTTTGATAATTAAAGAAAGAGAGGATTCGGAATATTACAAGGTATGGAGACAATTTTACAATTGGTTAGAGAAGAGATATAGATAAATGTATTAATAGTAAACAAGAAAATGTTATAATAAATGAAGTATGGGGAGAATGTTATAATAAAGAAATGGAAAAAATAAAGAAACGATGAAGATCAGAGGAGTAAGAAGAAGAAGAAGATGAAGACACACTAGAAACATCTAGATGATACACTGAATGATTGATTATGTATTGTATGTTTGTTTGTTTATAAAATAAAAAAATATATATATAAAAAAGTGACAGTGGGAGCTTTGTACCTTCAAATCTACAAGGTTTTGCTAATGAGCTGCAGTCAGCTACTTCTGCTGACTGCCTGTAATTTGGCAGTTCAAATCTCACCAGGCTCAAGGTTGACTCAGCCTTCCATCCTTCCGAGGTGGATAAAATGAGGACCCAAATTATTGAGGGCAATATGCTGACTCTGTAAACCACTTAGAGATGGCTATAAAAGCACTGTGAAGCAGTATTTAAGCCTACGTGCTATTGCTAATGTAGATTTACAATAAAGCAGAATTAGTTATTCTACTTCTCTTTCCTGACTGGTTTACTTGACACTTAGAGAACATCTTCTTAGAGACTATCTTCTTCCATTGGTGTCTTACGATTGATCTTTTGCTGTTTGTATTTTATGATGAATGATTGTAATTATGATTATGACCTATGACCTATCCCTCCGTGGCTATATGCGTGTACACCGAGAGCTTATGCCAATATTCCTTGTGTGTTCAATCAGACTTGGCCAATAAAGAATTCTATTCTACTCTCCATTAGAAAAACATGGAGATCTTAAAACCGGAACTTTTTTTAATTAGGTATAGCACCAGAAAAATTTGATAAACGAAGTGTATATTTAACATTGCATGTATTAACAGCAGCGAGGATTGTATTCGCTCAGCATTGGAAAAATGAAGAAGTACCACTAGATGAAGAGACAATTAAGAAGACATTGGATTGTACAGAAATGGACAAACTTTCATTGAAGATCAAAAAGAAAGAAGATACAGAATACTATCAAACATGGAATTTATTTTATCAATGGCTGGAAAAAAAGGGGTAAAAAATTGGAATATAATTTGTATTGTTCAGCAAAAAAAAATAACCCAGACAAGACGATGTTTATTAAGCACTAATTAAATGTAGTAGTAGAAAATTAATAGAACTTTATTTTAAAGATCAGAAAGAGACTTCGCTGGTACAAAGACATTTGGAAAAGGCAGAGCTGGAATCTAAAAGAACAGTTGGATCAAAATGGTGGTAATACCAGAAACACACAAACACACAGACACACACACACAAACAAAACCATCCGTTTTGTCTTCTTTCCTTCTTCCGCTTTAAATTATGGGACGTAAAACGACAATAAACAGGTGTTTAAGTGGGTGAGCTTATCCGAGCACCAAGGAATTCTGGTATGAATTTGGAAGGAGACAGTTAAGGGACGGTAAGAAGCCAGGTTTAGATACAGATGTGCAGATAATTTGATAATAGACAGATAAGAGTTATTATTTAGTGAAAGACAGATAAAAGAACGATAGAGCTCTATCTAGGAATAGCTAGAGCTCAAGATAGCTGATGTATCTAGAGTTATATCCAGAGTTAGATGGATAGATATGGATAGGTGGCAGATTGATAAATAGGATCCCCAGATTATGTTTAAGGTCCGTCTGGGGAAGTGCCACCCCATTCAACACCAAGGACATTAAACTCCTAGATTTCAGCCCCCGCTCCCACACAGCCAGGCCAAGTCTTAACGAGCATTGCTGTCACATGTCTTATGCGCTATGTCTTCTACCCCAGACATAGCGCATAAGCGATGCTTGAGCAGGGTCTACCGGATTGTGTGGGACGCTACACATCCTCTTCACAACCGGTTTTCCTTGTTAGCTTCTGGGAGGGGGCTTCATGGCATCCAAAGCAGAATATCCAGATTCAGCCACAGTTTTGTTCCATACAGTTTCAACCTTGTGAACGCACAAGCTTCCTCTTTCCACTATGTATTCAAGATGGACTGTGATTAATATTTATACGTATTATATGTTAGGATGTAAGGAGTGGTGCAGTGGACTAGAGGTGGAGCTCTCATCTCACAATCAAGAGGCTATGATCCTAGGTAGAAGCAGATATTTCTCTCTCTGGGCATAATAAGAATATATCTGCTGAACAAAACTCTGCATTGGTGACAGGAAGTCACCAATTCGGCCATTAAACACTGCTGGCTCAATTCAGTTGGCCAGACTCCACCCCACAAGGAATTTGGGGGTCATTAAAAGATGATGATGCTATGTTAGAGTGTAGGTTTACTGTATACATATGTATGTATGTAGCATATCTATAGAGGGATGAGGTGGCTCAGTGGCTAAGACGCTGAGCTTGTCGATCGAAAGGTCAGCAGTTCAGTGGTTCGAATCCCTAGTGCTACGTAATGGGGTAAGCTCCCGTTACTTGTCCCAGCTTCTGTCAACCTAGCAATTGAAAGCACGTAAAAAATGCAAGTAGAAAAATCGGGACCACCCTTTGGTGGGAAGGTAACAGAGTTCCATGCGCCTTTGGCATTTAGTCATGCCAGCCACATGACCACAGAGACGTCTTCGGACAGCGCTGGCTCTTCGGCTTTGAAACAGAGATGAGCAGCGCCCCCTAGAGTCAAAAATAACTAGCACATATGTGCAAGGGGAAACTTTACCTTTACTAGGATATCTATATGTGTGTTATGTATGTGTACACTTTTAAGAGCAGGCAACAGAATTTCATTTTTAATGTGTGCAGGAAAAAGATGACACTAAAGGTTATCTATCTAAAATAAAAATAAACACTCTTTGATTAGCCAGCATACACTTCTCTTTTTATTTATTTGTTGAATTTATACCCGGCCCACCTATTTCTTCAAGAATCTCAAGGTGGCTAAATGTACAGGGCAATCTCTATTTTATTCCCAGTGCAACAGTTATTCATGTTGAGAAGAGGTTGAGCAGCAAAATAGAAGCAACTGATGCCGACTGCCTCACCTTTATGGAAGCAACAAAACTCTAGTCCCCTTCATGTGCTCTACATGGCGCTACCCTTGAAAGGCATTTGGAAGCTACAGGTGGTGTAGAGTGTGGTGGCATGGGCAGTTCTATAGTATTAATTAAAGGTCTTGGAGAATTGTCCTTGGTTATACTATTTTCTGTCTCCGCTCCTTGGAGAGAATAGAGCATAGAATCATAGGGCTGGAAGGGATCTTGGAGATCTTCTGGTCCAACCCTCTGCTCAAATCAGGAGACCTTATTCTATCCCAGTGGAATAAGTCAAATGTTTATCAAGTCGATTTTTGAAAACCTCCAGTGATGGAGCACCCACAACTCCAGAAGGCAAGCTGTTCCATTGATTAATTGTTCTCACTGTCAAGAAATTTGGGTTTCTCTTTAATAAGCTTCCACCCGTTACTTCTTCTCCAGCCCTCTGGTGAGAGAATAAGTCTCAAAATATCCTCTGTCAGAGAATATTCATCAGCTGG